TCAAGAGAAGAAAAGCTTATTGTAAACGCAGACTGGTTCTGTGAAAGGACGTGCGACACCTCTAGGAGGTCATTAATGATTTCGGACGATTTTGATGGTAACTGAGATTCCAAGGAACCTCTACCATCAAGGACAACCTCTGTAGACGGATCTAAGTCGTTACCAATAAGGTGAATGGAGCAGACGCGGGATGAGGTGGGACACCACAGTTTGTGTGAATAGATCAGGTGATGTCTTGCACGTTTTGGTAAGACTGATGATTTTGTTCCATTTCTTGCAAAGGTAACAAGACAGAGACAGCATTTTTTGTGTGAAGATGATCCATTCAAAAGATCATGAAGGGTCAGCAACGGCAGGATATGGGACGGGGAGTCGTCTTCTTCCTCTATTTCCTGGTTCTGCTCGGGTTCAGGTTCAGGCTGATTTTTGTTCCGAAGATACTTCATGTAGCACTTCTGGCAAATAAGTGCTTGTTCCTTTGCTGACATCAATCCTTGTTGCACCAGCGTATCTAGGAGCCATTTATATTGTGGACTATTTACATTGCGTGCACTTCTGTTCTTATTGCCACTACGTTTCTTGAAGTATACTTGACACCCTTCTCCAACACATTTACCCTCCATCTTGAAACAATAACGATTGGTTTATGAAGCGTCGATAAAGTAACAAAATAGCAAGCCACCGATGATTGCTGTAAACAGCTAATACTTAGTAGTTTGGTACAATTATGCGAAAATGTGTGATAAATAACGAACAACTAATTACACAAAATAACAAGACAATATAATAAATCACATTCAATACCTCCAAGAAGCGCAGAATTGATTGATTACTTAGAACAAAATAAAGTATTTCATATGGATAATCTATCTATTCGATGTGGCGTGGTCGGCAGGCACAAAGAAAGTGAGACAAGTCAGGGTCCCAACCCTGACAGAGCCACAACGCTTTGGAGATGGGACAATAAAACAAGGAAAGTGAGACAAGAATAGCTAGCGTCGAGTCAATGATTCCGTAAACGTATAGACAAAGACAAGAAGATACGGATAAATGTACAAGGCCACACGATCAGAAAATTCAGAAGAGGACAACTTGAGATAGAACAGTATTCATGTATCAGGGTGTCCTCAGTGTAAATCTTTATATCGATACTGTTTATTTAGTCGTTACACATCATAAAACTGTCATGAAAATATCCGCTCTGATATTCAATATAAAAGTTTGTATATAATAAGCTATATAATAGGGTTTCAGACAAGGTTGTTACTCATTTCCCCTTTTCTTTCAATTTACAACCACATTCAGGCGGCGATATGAGAACGTTCCACCACATGGAATTAGCTGATTTTTGGTACACATATGAAACAAGTAAAGCTCTATCCGATTTTCTGATGGAAATTTGCATCCAAAACTATATAACGGGAGAAAATTGCAATTTTATGGCATTTTTCTTCATAATTGTGTCTCTGCAAGTGCATTTTCATCCGAGAATATTTTTTTTTTTGTTTTATGAATAAACACGATGTTTTGGAAATATTTATCAAAAGAAATTTATACTATGTTGCGAATTACAATTTCGAGATAACCTTCTTTTATTTACGAACTTATGTCTTTGATGCTGAAATTGACAACTTTATAAAAATACATTTTCACTGAAATTATGAAATCTGGGTGTCGGAAAGGTGTAAAATTATTCTTCGGAAAAGAAAAAAACAGTAGTTGAGCTAGATAAGAAATTATACGGGGGCAGGCTCCTATGGAGAATTAACATTACTGGAAACAGGCCCTTTTGCATGTTTTTCCAATTAAAAGTATCACTACTCTTACTTCATGTATACCAATATGACATATATAGTATCAAAATAACAGTATTTTTATACACTATACACTATCATAATTCATTTCCAAATTAACATTTGCCTGTGATATTTATCGGTCATTTTGTTAGGATACCCCCGTCACTCAACCTGGTGTTATGCAAGGAGGTCCACTACGGTTATCAGTAACAATCATGAATAATCATTTATGCAGTTATTGGTCAGTTAATGTATCTACATATGGCAAAAGAATAAAGGAAAACAAAGTGGGGCCAAATGTTGACCCCACCTTTGACATGTAGGTTCCACTTGTTCTGTAGTTGTGCATGTTTTCTTTGGTAAGTGATCATAAAAACAAGATTGACACAGGAAGTTCTAATGTCATATTGAAATCAGATCTATTTCTCTTGCATTTTAAGAACTGTATTAGTAAATATGTGAAACGGTGCATTTAATATGTTCATGACTTGATCAAAAGGGTTTGGTTTAGTAGTGTTTAACGTCCTATCAACAGCTATGGTCATTTAAGGACGGCCTCCCTGTGTGCAAGATGTATGCGTGTGTGTTTTGGGAGGCTGCAATATGTTCGTGTTTGTCTCCTTGTGATAGCGCGGAACTGATGCCGACTTTATAGTGCTACCTCACTAAAACATACTGCCAAAGACAGCCAGTAGGACACCCCACCTGGTCAAATTATACTGACAACGGGCAAACCAGTCGTTCCACTCCTATACTGCGGAGTGTTAAACAGGAGTGGAAACTACCATTTTTACAGTCTCTGGTATGTCTCAGGGGACAGAACCCAAAGCATTCCTCACGGGGGCGAACGCTCAACTAAAGGCCAAAAGTGAAGCATTGTCAAGGAAGACATAAGGAAGAAGAAAGTTGTTTATGAAGAAGAGAAAAGATAAGATCCCAAATTTAGTCGAAAGAAGAGAAAAGACCAAACTGACATAAACTAATAAAGATGGTACAGTGGTGGGCGCCAAGATCCCTCTGAGATCTCGTTTTTATTACTTTTAAAATTTTGCTCTACCATTTTTACACATTTGATCCCTTGACTTTGAACCTAGGGTAATTAATATGAAGACGTTTTACAGCAATCCATCCCAGGTATATGCTGGTCAAATATCAGGACCTTTGGCATTATGGAAATATCTATTTCTCTAGATCTACTTTATATAAATGTCAAATTCCTTGGTAACAACATTGGTAAAATGGAGTTTTTGCAGTGGATAGTTCCCAAGTTCGACACCTTAAATTTTCTGTTTCTTTCTCGATCTTCCCCCTGTTTTCAAATACTGAATTTTTAAATAACTGTTCTTACAAACGTATCGGAAAATGTTTTGACAACGGATATAACTGTAGAAAATGACTCCAATCAGTATACTTCTTACCTTGACTATGGAAAAGTCTTATAGTCGACATGATGGTCTTATTAGGAAATATGGTTTGATTGTGTGTGTGATATGAAGGTTGGTGTTGATTATTTCTAAACATTTTCTACGGGTTGGTAAGTATGGATTATGCGACGGTTTCTTTATGGCCAAGTATTAAACAAAGCTTAGCTAAATAAAGTCATTTCGGTACATATAATTTTACTATAACAACATACGCTTACAGCATAGCCGAAATCGACATCGGTTTTGTGGACAACTCGTACACATTTTACATATCTGTGTTTGCATACACTTCACTGATCATTTTTATGATGAAGGTGACAGTGTACATATCGAACTAGTTATCGACACGTTACATAGAAACTCTTATTTGTTGTATAAAAAGAACTTGTCATGATTGTTGATTACGTGTAACGTGTGCTTTGTCTCGTGTGTGTGGGATATGAAGGTTGATGTTGATTACGTGTAATGTGTGCTTTGTCTCGTGTGTGTGTGAAATCAAGGTTGGTGTTGCTTACGTGTAATGTGTTCTTTGTTATGTGTGTGTGTGATATGAAGATAGACGTTGATTACGTGTAATGTGTGCTTTGTCTCGTGTGTGGTGGATATGAATGTAGATGTTGATTACGTGTAACGTGTGCTTTGTCTCGTGTGTGTGTGATATGAAGGTAGGTGTTGATTACGTGTAATGTGTGCTTTGTCTCGTGTGTGTGTGAAATCAAGGTTGGTGTTGCTTACGTGTAATGTGTGCTTTGTTATGTGTGTGTGTGATATGAAGATAGATGTTGATTACGTGTAATGTGTGCTTTGTCTCGTGTGTGTGTGATATGAAGGTAGGTGTTGATTACGTGTAATGTGTGCTTTGTTATGTGTGTGTGTGATATGAAGATAGATGTTGATTACGTTTAATGTGTGCTTTGTCTCGTGTGTGTGGGATATGAAAGTTGGTGTTGATTACGTGTAATGTGTGCTTTGTCTCTTGTGTGTGTGATATGAAGGTAGATGTTGATTACGTGTAATGTTTGCTTTGTCTCGTGTGTGTGTGATATGAAGGTTGGTGTTGCTAACGTGTGATGTGTGCTTTGTCTCGTGTGTGTGTGAAATCAAGGTTGGTGTTGCTTACGTGTAATGTGTGCTTTGTCTCGTGTGTGGGTGAAATGAAGGTTGGTGTTGCTTACGTGTAATGTGTGCTTTGTTATGTGTGTGTGTGTGATATGAAGGTAGATGTTGATTACGTGTAATGTGTGCTTTGTCTCGTGTGTGTGTGATATGAAGGTAGATGTTGATTACGTGTAACGTGTGCTTTGTCTCGTGTGTGTGGGATATGAAGGTTGGTGTTGATTACGTGTAATGTGTGCTTTGTTTTACAGTCACTACCACATTTCTTGCTATGATGATGTGACGTTACTAACGTTTAACCTAGATTTACATGGCGGGTGTCTACGTTGAAGCAGAAAGACGCTTACCTTTCCTAAACACCTCGTTTTATTCCCTTTGTACCTTATTCAAGGGTCTCTTTGGGATTATTTATTCGTTCATCACTTGCCCTAGTTTAATCAATTTTGTGCTCACATTACGGTTTGTTGAAACTTCAATTTTCTCTGCCTGTTTTTTGTTTGTTTTTGTACTTCCTGAATCACTACCCTTTTATTTAACTGATAACACATGTGTACACTTGACCCCCATGTCGTGAACATTGTCCGACGTCATTTAGTTAAATTATGTACAGTATGGCAGCAACATACTTAAACAAAAGGAAAACAAACGAAATTCAGTATTGCTTATAATTGAAAATGTATTGATAACTGCATCCAATGTATTTGAATTACATGTATATGTAATTCATTTCCAGACACATACATTTCGCAAAGTATGATATTTAACGTATAAATGAGAAATCCAAATAAAGGTAATTTATAGTGATAAAAAATGACAGTAATACAAAATGTACATAAAAATCATCATTGAATACCGATAGTAAATTTATACATTGTAATCAAAGCACATACAAATCACGGGACACACCAATGATACTACAACTTTCAAATTAGAATACAACGTTTAAATTATTCTAATATTACTGAGAACAATTACTGATTTTTAAATGTTACTAAAACGTCAACAAATTTTAACACGTATTTTGTGTTATGTGATTCGGTATTAATTGCAACTGAAAATGCGCGTGAAAACCGAACATTTGTAGATTTCATAAACATCAACGACGAGTTACCCACGTCCGAGTAACGGCAAGTGATGGCAGAAACATCAATGTCGAGTAAACCACGTCCGAGTAACGGCTACTGGTGACAGAGACATCGATGTCGAGTAAACCACGTCCGAGTAACGGCAAGTGATGGCAGAGACATCAATGTCGAGTAAATCTCGTCCAAGTAACGGCTACTGGTGACCGAGACATCAATGTCGAGTAAACCACGTCCGAGTAACGTCTACTGGTGACAGAGACATCAATGTCGAATAACCCACGTCCGAGTAACGGCTAGTGGTGGCAGAGACATCAATGTCGAGTAAATCTCGTACGAGTAACGACTACTGGTGACAGAGACATCAATGTCGAATAACCCACGTCCGAGTAACGGCTAGTGGTGGCAGAGACATCAACGACGAGTAACCCACGTCCGAGTAACGGCTAGTGGTGGCAGAGACATCAACGACGAGTAACCCACGTCCGAGTAACGGCTAGTGGTGGCAGAGACATCACTGTCGAGTAAACCACAAGCGAGTCACAACTTACCACAAACCGATCTTCATTTTGTTATCTTTAGCTGCTTGCTAAAATATGTTGATGTAAATAATCAATAATGCGATTGACTCCTCTCTTACATGGACAGATATATCATCTGTTCTTTTGTTTACATTGGCCTGTGTGGTTGTCAATAACAAAAGTTTGGTAACTTATACTACATGTAAATAGCCAACGATAAAAAGGTTGGACAAAGGAACAAGTTCTTGACCGTTTAAGAAATTACAAGCACCATTATAATTAACTGGAATTCACTATACAGATACAAATATCTATATAAAACACTAATTTTCCCCAGAATTACTACTTGTCATTTATAACAGACAAATCATTCAATGTCACCAGTACAACTGTGGTCTACAGCATAAGTTCATCTGGATCTCAGTTCCTCTTTTCAAATTTTAGGAACAATCCAACAGGAATGTTTCCTAGGTTGGAAATCTTGATTGGAACCTGAAATTAAAATAATATGCAGAGAAAGATAGCAGCATCTAAAATTAGCTGACGTGTCTCTCTTTTATTAAACATCATTTTCAAATAATAAAATACATTAAAAAATGGATGCAACAGTTAACGATTACTGTTTTTTGCAATTTAACATTATAGTAAGAAAAGGAATGTAAGACAATGTTATAGATAATATTCCATTTTGAATTTTAAATTTATTCTAGGAAAAGTTTAAAAACTTATTACCACTGTTTGTATGAAAATGTGTTCATTTATGAAATGTACCCAGAAACAGGACGGAGCACAACATGTGTTCGGTGTCAAGTTACCTCTGTCTTGGAACATTTGACAGGCCTGTATGTCTGAAGAATTCTACCAACAGCAATCTTTAATTCCAGGAGGGCTAACCTCATCCCAATACAATTTCGAGGTCCGTCCCCAAATGGCAGAAAAACAAAGGGAATCCTGCTAGCTTTAGCTTCTGGTGTGAACCTTCGGTGAAAATAAAAGTATTCTGGAGATGCATCTCATTTTTGCGAAGACTTTGTACATTGCCCGGCTATATCGAATTAGATATTTTCACACACCCGATTGAGTTATAATCTGGTACCTTGGAAAGGTTCTCAGCATGCTATATTTTGTAATGATCGTTTTAGAACAGTACATTTCGGAAAATACTGCAGAATTTGTAAAATATCATTGATTTGTTGCAGAATCCAACAAGTCTTCATTGAGAAGAATACGCTCCATTGTAAATCAAAATAACATAGAAGATGAACATTTACTAAATAACGTTGAACCTCACATCAAAATGAGACTGAGTCTACCTACCTCTCGGGGTTGAATGTTTCTGGCTCTGACCAGTACTGTGGGTCCTTGTGTATGGCTCCCGCGGGTATGTGTATTACCAAACCTTTTGGAATGTTGATATTACCGATGGTGACGTCATTCGAAGCCTCACGCGTAAGCCTATATGATGTATCACAAAGACACATTCTACATAATAAATATATAAAACAAACCACTAAAAACTAAATATCGCAGATATACGGGCTCTTCAGGCAATTTGAATTGTGACGTCATCATAAAGTACACATACTTTTACAAAAATGTGTACGTTTAACTATTACCTAAAAAAATCCATATATTTCTGTCTGGTGAATCTTAACCTACAACTAGGTACCACATTAAACATGTGGTCATGGTTTGTATTTTAATCCAAGCTCTCAAAGACTAATGTTTTACGTATTTTTAACAAACATTATCCTCGGAATTTCAAGGGATTAGGCTCACTAACGTTCAACACACATTAGATAAAATACTTAATCTATGGAAAGTGAAGTCACGGCAAAAGCAAGAAGACAGTTAGGAGTTACCTTTTAATGTTCAGTAAATTATAAAATAGAGGTATATCACTTATAAACAATAACTAATAAGAAGAACTAACGAGAAGAATCAATATCGTACCTGTTTGCAGCAGGAAAGAGTCTCATTGTCTCATTAATACACATCTCCAGGTAGGTAAGCTTACCAACTGTATCGTAGGTGGGGACCTCCTACATTAACACGTCAAAAACAATAAATAAAATAAAAATATCAACAACGTCAACGTAAAATAAACGAAAATGTTGATATGAAGGATTGCAAAAAGAAATATGGAGACACTAACCTGAAAGGAAGACTAATATAATCTATTACTCCTGTGTGGTGTTGACAGAGAAATATCAAACCTTTTATTTAATAACGCCACCATACAGGTGATTTATTTATAACATGCATAATGACATTATCTTTGTATCAGCTCGTTAGAGAGTGAAACAACTACATCACAACAACGTTTTATATTATAATTATATTAAACCAACATCACAAGAACTTTCTATGTATCACTTATAGCAACGAAAACCAACATTCTAAATGATGTACAAGTAGCTTAAAGCTTGTTACGTTTTGTTGTCCTTTTTTTGTTTTGTGATACGGTTTTATTAATATTATTAGTATCACATGCTTAACAGTCCATCAACACAAGAAAGAACATTAGGTCCCAAAAACAAATGTAAAACTAGAAACTTGTTTTTGTGAACAAAGACATATGTCTCCCCTTATTAGCCAATAGACAAACTTCGGTATAAAAAAAATAACAAAAGGCCATATCTTTTTTTATAGAGTGGGGCACGAATCCCGAATTAAGAATTCGACACTCCTATTGCCCAAGAAACATAACTATAGCAAGTTTGGTCAACGTAGGTGAAATAATATGGAAGTTATGCCGTGGACAAACTTCGGTATTAATAATAAACAAAGGGCCATAACTCTATATAAAGTGGATCACGAGACCTAATTTCAGTGCACTGGACACCTTCTGTGGGTGATGCAGGTAAACTTCAAGCTTGATTAAGATGTCTTTAACGGTTTAAGAGTTATGCTGTGGACAAACTTAGATATACAAAATAAACAAAGGGCCATAAATCTATATATAGTGGGGCCAGCGACCCGATTTTAGTGCGAGAGATTCCGCCTTCCTAAGATACATGAATATGGTAAGTTTGATCAAGGTAGGTCAAATAACTTGAAACTTTTTACAAACTTCGGTATTAAAAGTAAACAAAGGGCCACAACTCTGTATATAGTGGGGCACGATACCTAATCTCAGTGCACTGTACACCTTCTGTGGGTGATGCAGGTATACTTCAAGTTTGATTAAGATATCTTTAACGGTTTATCAATTATGCCGTGGGCAAACTTCGGTATTAAAAATAAGCAAAGGGCCATACATCTGTGTATATTTGGGCACGATACCTAATACTATTGCACTGCACACCTTCTGTAGGTGATGTAGGTATACTCTAAGTTTCATCAAGATATCTTTAACGGTTTAAAATTTATGGCCCGGACAAGTTGCGATTAGAAAAATCAGAAGGAAAAGAACCAGAAGAAAAACAGAAGAGGAAGAACCAGTACTTATACAATATGTCTCCCTTCATTCGAAGGGGAGACATAATAAAACCAAGAGGCCCAACGGGTCTGCATCGCTCACCTGGTATTTATCTCACAATTGTAAACTTAAATGTGGACTAAAATACAGCTACATGCAAAATATCAGTGTCTTGAGTCAAAGACATATATTACCCCTGTGACCTTGAATATGGTTGAAGGTCATTCATTTAAACAAAATTTGTAGCCCTTTGTCCCAGTATGCTTCTGGCCAAATATCACCACCCTGGTTATTAAGAAAAAGTTTTTTAAGTAAACTCTTGACGCTGGACGCCGGACCACGGCATAAGATCATTTGGCCCTTCGGGCCAGGTGAGCTTATGACCTAAACTTAATGGAAAAATACTAACATCAAACTGAATATTAAAAGTGATTATTGTGACTCATATCTGTCGAAAAGGACCAACAGCTTTCACAGTTTAAAATTGTAGAAATATATTTTTTGTTTCGACAAGAACTTTTTCTCGAAGGTCAACGGAATCTAATAACACATGTTTAACTGCAAATGGTTTTCGGCGTGCTATGTAATGATGCCTGTGTTCACGTTTTATTAAAACCCGTGATAGGTAAAGTATTACCGGCTGCACTCAATAGTTCATCTGTCGAAACGTTTTATCATTAACTCGATTACGAACTAAACAAAAAGAAACAATGAAAAGTACACGGGGACAGCACTTCACACCTATATATGTTACCTACCCCATTGAGGTTCTCGTCGATTTCCTGAAGGAGCTTGTCACATATGTCCGGGTAGATAGCCAGGTGATACAAGATGAAACACAGTTGGTTTGTTATCGTGTGATAACCAGCAAACATGAGCATAAGAGCTTGCGATATGATCTCTGAATCAGTGAGTTCTGAAACATCAAACACACAAAGGGCAATCCAATTAGGAAATACCACAGCTTTACAAAGAATGGGAGAATACTTAAACGAGCCTAAACTCATTTTTTAAACATGTATTTTGGGGCAATATTGCATATTGTAAAAATCGAAAAACAATTGCCATCCTTGCTTTCGTCTGGGGCGACTTTGTTTCATCGGGTTGAATGACGCTAGCTTTCGTAGAAAGTTTAAGATACGGTATTTGCAGCATCCTGGACTAGAAAGTCAGCGTTTTCTCATAAGTATCCTTACTCTTTCTAGTCCACTGTTTTGGGGATGTTTGATTATCTTCTTTCTCTGTACGTACACCAGCCGCTTCATCGTGCTTTTCTTCAAGTTTCTTGGCTTCGCTATCGACCAATATTCCAAGAAAATCGCTGTATTTCTGGAGAAAATAAATGGGAGGATTTAAATTCTTCAGTACACCTCGAGGACATTGCTGTTTCTTTTTTAATTTTTACTGAAAAGAAAATTAATTTAATCTTTGGTTCGTCGAGAAATGAAATGTGAGTTATGTTTGTAATATATTTGTTCTCTACTTTCATATCATTGAAATACTGAATATCTATTGATCCTTTTATCTGCATATCTATGACGACAGGCGCAACCACCATAACAGCAAGGCAGCGTAGTGAATAGCACCATTGTACATGTACCATGGTAATTTGTGAAGCGTGATAAAATACCAAGTTATCATTAAATAACAAAATCAAAGGAATATTGTTTTGGAGACTTTATTATATACATGCATGCTACTCCTTATTCATCTTTGAATATATTCCCCAAAAAACATCTTTATGTATATATTAAATATATTGCAAATATACATATGTATAAAGAACATTATATATAAGCATATGTTTTAGCTTATTCCCTTAATTCTTCAGCTTCAAACATACCCCTAAACTTTCTCTTCTTTCTTCTATGGCCTTCTCTGTGGTCTGTAGAAAAAATCGGAATGCTTTCTGTTGTATGCTGCCTTTTCCATAGCGATTTATATATAACAAAATCCAAGCCAGAAAACGAGCAAGATCTGGAATCAAACAAATCATAGAACAAAATTATATTGAGAGATGAAAATAGCAACTTCGCCTGTTAAATACTCTAGTAACTCTACAAAAAATCAACACGGGAACATAGTGATACATTAGACATCAAGATTTTTATGCACACGATAATTTAGTGATACGTCAGACATCAATATTTATATCAACACGATAATCTAGTGATATGTCAGACATCAATATTTATATCAACATGATAATCTAGTGATAGGTCAGACATCAAGATTTATATCAACACGATAATCTAGTGATACGTCAGACATCAATATTTATATCAACACGGCAATATAGTGGTACATTAGACATCAAGATTTATATCCACACGATAATTTAGTGATACGTCAAACATCAATATTTATATCAACACTATAATCTAGTGATACGTCAGACATCGATATAATCTAGTGATACATCAGACATCAAAATTTATATCAACACGATAATCTAGTGATACGTCAGACATCAATATTTATATCAACACGATAATCTAGTGATACGTCAGACATCAAGATTTATATCAACACGATAATCCAGTAATACGTCAGACATCAAGATTTATATCCACACGATAATCTAGTGATACGTCAGACATCAATATAATCTAGTGTTACGTCAGACATCAATATAATCTAGTGATACGTCAGAAATCAAGATTTATATCAACACGATAATCTAGTGATACGTCAGACATCAATATAATCTAGTGTTACGTCAGACATCAATATAATCTAGTGATACTTCAGACATCAAGATTTATATAAACACGAAAATATAGTTACCCTTCAGACATCAAATTAACATAAACAAGAGAATCTAGTTACCCTTCAGACATCAAATTAACATAAACAAGAGAATCTAGTTACTCTTCAGACATCAAATTAACATAAACACCAGAATCTAGTTACCCTTCAGACATCAAATTAACATAAACAAGAGAATCTAGTTGCCCTTCAGACATCAAATTAACATAAACACGAGAATCTAGTTACCCTTCAGACATTAAATCAACATAAATACGAGAATCTAGTTACCCTTCAGACATCAAATTAACATAAACACGGAAATATAGTGACCCTTCAGACATCAAATTACCATAAACACGCGAATCTAGTTCCCCTTCAGACATCAAATAAACATAAACACGAGAATCTAGTTACCCTTCAGACATCAAATTAACATAAACACGAGAATCTAGTTACCCTTCAGACATCAAATAAACATAAACACGAGAATCTAGTTACCCTTCAGACATCAAATTAACATAAACACGAGAATCTAGTTACCCTTCAGACATCAAATCAACATAAACACGAGAATCTAGTTACCCTTCAGCATCAAATTACCATAAACACGAGAATCTCGTTCCCCTTCAGACATCAAATCAACATAAACACGATAATCTAGTTACCCTTCAGACATCAAATTAACATAAACACGGAAATATAGTGACCCTTCAGACAACAAATTACCATAAACACGAGAATCTAGTTCCCCTTCAGACATCAAATCAACATAAACACGAGAATCTAGTTACCCTTCAGACATCAAATTAACATTAACACGGAAATATAGTTACCCTTCAGACATCCAATTAACATAAACACGAGAATCTAGTTACCCTTCAGACATCAAATAAACATAAACACGATAATCTAGTTGCACGTCACTTTATGAAAACTGGAAAGACATTTCGTTTGTGGTGATATTATTTGAGCTATGTGACACTGATAGCGACCTTTCGCACGAATCAGGAAACGGAAGGAGAGTGATTTAAAGAGAATTTGATTCCGAGTTAATAATACTGGCCTATGGTAAGGCAGAAGAGAAGATTCGTTATAATTTTTGCATGATATTATTTTTTTTTCCGTCCAAAAAACTTATCATACTGATATACAAAAATATATTATTACCACTGATTTCTGATGAAAAAGACAAGTTCTCGTCAAAAAATCCAAGCTATTGTCAAACATGACTTCCGCGATACATTTGATAACATTTGGTCATGTTCGTATTACTAATCGATTTCGGTTCATAAAGTGAATTGTGATCTGAAATGCTATTTTCTTCGTTAATCTAGCAAAATTGAAAACCAGATTTAAATGCACGTACATCAGTATGAACAACCACGTGCTTCATTCAGATTTTGCCACCTTTATTGACATTGAAAAAATATCGTTTAATACGTATATTTACATTCTCAATTTGTAGTTAGCTAAACAAATATTCCATAAAACTCGGAAAGAAAAGCGTTTAAATAGTGCTGATCCTATTGCATTCATAGCCCTATTGAACGTAGATTGTTTTAGTAAGGCGTATGTTTGGAATGGAAGCGGTGGAAATGTAAATAAATCATAACAAGGGATAAAAACCAGCTCTTAACTCCCTCTATCACTGCTGACTTCAACATTTTACCTCCTCCGACACCACTCATGGGATAATATTAAAAGACCGGTGCACGAAGTACATGTTATGCTTTATTACAGTATTGTTCGTATCGTAGACGCTAAAATATTTGTGTTCTGTGAAATCCGATATGATCGTATTGCATTCATAGCCCTATTGAACGTAGATTGTTTTAGTAAGGCGTATGTTTGGAATGGAAGCGGTGGAAATGTAAATAAATCATAACAAGGGATAAAAACCAGCTCTTAACTTGTTTTAGTAAACCGGGTTTCGTTTTTTCTCGACAAAATACCATTTCGTGGGTACATGATTGGTTTGGTTTAGTTGGTTTGGTTTGATTTGGTTTAGTATTGTTTAACGTCCTATCAACAGCTATGATCATTTAAGGACGGCCTCCCCTGTGTGCAAGATCCATGCATGTAGTGTATGTGTGTATGTTTTGGGAGGCTGTGATATGTTCGTGTTTGTCTCCTTGTTATAGCGCGGAACTGATGCCGACTTTATAGTGCTACCTCACTGAAACATACTGCTGAAGACACCAAACAGGACACCCCACTCGGTCACATTATACTGACAATGGGCGAAACAGTCGTCTCACTACTAAATTGCTGAGCGTTAAGCTGGAGTAGAAACTACCATTTTTACAGACTCTGGTATGTCGCGGCCAGGGGACAGAACCCAAAGCATTACTCACAGGGGCGAACGCTCAACTAAAGGCCAAAAGTGAGGCATTGTCAAGAGAGACAGTAGATAGAAAAGGGTTGTTAAGAAAGAAGAGAAAAGATAAGATCCCAAATTTAGTCGCCTCTTACGATCATGCAATGGAGCAGCAGGTACAATTCTTACGCCCTACCTGCAGGGACATTGAGTAAATGAATTCGTGGATTACGAGTTCACACTCGAACGGAAAATTGTTTCATATCAAACTTGTAATTACTTCCTGGACCTGTGCATTTGTTGTTGAAGATTACCTCCGAAATCAGCGAAATTAATAATCCCACAAAAAGTAATGATTTCGCAGTAACTGAATGAATTTTAATGAAAATTGAATGTTTTATTAAACAAAACAAATCATACTCACAAATAATTGAGACAAAAGAGCCAAGCTTGTCCACGGTAAATAGAGTTTGGGCATGTCTGGTGAAAGAATCTTCTTTATCATATTGCCTTTCCACGTCAAGACCGAAAATGGTACTTGCAACCATATCAGTGGTAAAACGTCCTACGAATCTAGAATGACATCGATGAGAGTAAACATTGATACAGGTAATCAATCTAGAATGATATCGATAAGAGAAGACATTGATATAGGTAATCAATCAAGAATGACATCGATGAGGGTAGACATTGATACAGGTAATCAATCTAGAATGACATCGATGAGAGTGGACATTGATACAGATAATCAACCTAGAATGACATCGATGAGAGTAGACATTGATACAGGTAATCAACCTAGAATGACATCGATGAGAGTAAACATTAATACAGGTAATCAATCTAGAATGACATCGATGAGAGTAGACATTGATACAGGTAATCAATCTAGAATGACATCGATGAGAGTAGATATTGATACAGGTAATCAATTTAGACTGACATCGATGAGAGTAGACATTGATACAGGTAATCAACCTAGAATAGTAAACATTAATACAGGTAATCAATCTAGAGTGACATCGATGAGAGTAGACATTGATAAGGTAATCAATTTAGAATGACAACAATGAGTAGATATTGATACAGGTAATCAATCTCGAATGACATCGATGAGAGTAGACATTGATACAGATAATCAACCTAGAATGACATCGATGAGAGTATACATTGATACAGGTAATCAACCTAGAATGACATCGATGAGAGTATACATTGATACAGGTAATCAACCTAGAATGACATCGATGAGAGGAAACATGAATACAGGTAATCAATCTAGAATGACATCGATAAGAGTAGACATTGATACAGGTAATCAATTTAGAATGACATCGATGAGAGTAGACATTGATAAGGTAATCAATTTAGAATGACATCAATGAGTAGATATTGATACAGGTAATCAATCTAGAATGACATCGATGAGAGTAGACATTGATACAGGTTATTAACCTAGAATGACATCGATGAGAGTAGACATTGATACAGGTAATCAATCTAGAATGACATCGATGAGAGTAGATATTGATACAGGTAATCAATCTAGAATGACATCGATGAGAGAAGACATTGATACAGGTAATCAATTTAGAGTGACATCGATGAGAGTAGACATTGATAAAGGTAATCAACCTAGAATGACATCGATGAAAGTAGACATTGATACAGGTAATCAACCGAGAATGACATCGATGAGAGTAGACATTGAAACAGGTAATCAATTTAGAATGACATCGCTGAGAGGAGACATTGATACAGGTAATCAATTTAGAGTGACATCGATGAGAGTAGACATTGATAAAGGTAATCAACCTAGAATGACATCGATGAGAGTAGCCATTGATACAGGTAATCAACCTTGAATGACATCGATGAGAGTAGACATTGAAACAGGTAATCAATTTAGAATGACATCGCTGAGAGGAGACATTGATACAGGTAATCAACCTAGCATGACATCGATGAGAGTAGACATTGATAAAGGTAATCAACCTAGAATGACATCGATGGGAGTAGACATTGATACAGGTAATCAACCGAGAATGACATCGATGAGAGTAGACATTAATACAGATAATCAACCTAGAATGACATCGATGAGAGAAGACATTGATACAGGTTATTAACCTAGATTGACATCGATTAGAGTAGACATTGATACAGGTAATCAACCTTGAATGACATCGATGAGCGTAGACATTGATACAGGTAATCAACCTAGAATGACATCGATGAGAGTAGACTTTGATACAGGTAATCAACCTAGAATGACATCGATGAGCGTAGAAATTGATACAGGCAATCAACCTAGAATGACATCATGAGAGTAGACATTGATACAGGTAATCAGCCTAGAATGACATCGATGAGAGTAGACTTTGATACAGGTAATCAACCTAGAATGACATCGATGGGAGTAGACATTGATACAGGTAATCAATCTAGAATGATATCATGAGAGTAGACATTGATACAGGTAATCAGCCTAGAATGACATCGATGAGAGTAGACTTTGATACAGGTAATCAACCTAGAATGACATCCATGAGAGTAGACATTGATACAGGTTATTAACCTAGAATGACATCGATGAGAGTAGAAATTGATACAGGTAATCAACCTAGAATGACCTCGATGAGAGTAGACATTGATACAGATGAGAGTAAACATTAATACAGGTAATCAATCTAGAATGACATCGATGAGAGTAGATATTGATACAGGTAATCAATCTCGAATGACATCGATGAGAGTAGACATTGATAAAGGTAATCAACCTAGAATGACATCGATGGGAGTAGACATTGATACAGGTAATCAATCCAGAATGACATCGATGAGAGTAGATATTGATACAGGTAATCAATCTAGAATGACATCATGAGAGTAGACATTGATCCAGGTAATCAACCTAGAATGACATCGATGAGAGCAGACATTGATACAGGTAATCAATTTAGAGTGACATCGATGAGAGTAGACATTGATAATGTAATCAATTTAGAATGACATCAATGAGTAGATACTGATACAGGTAATCAATCTAGAATGACATCGATGAGAGAAGACATTGATACAGGTAATCAATTTAGAGTGACATCGATGAGAGTAGACATTGATAATTGATACAGGTTATTAACCTAGAATGCCATCGATGAGAGTAGACATTGATACAGATGAGAGTAAACATTAATACAGGTAATCAATCTAGAATGACATCGATGAGAGCAGACATTGATACAGGTAATCAACCTAGACTGACATCGATGAGAGTAGACATTGATACGGATAATCAACCTAGAATGACATCGATGAGAGCAGACATTGATACAGGTAATCAACCTAGCATGACATCGATGAGAGTAGACATTGATACAGGTAATCAACCTCTGGGATAATGGAAAAACCGATAGGAGCCACTGACTTTGGCGATGTGGGTCAAGGCATGCTGGTAAGGATTTGAATTGAAGAGCATATTCTCTCCAAGAGATATACGCCCCGCTCAATTCAGTTTGATAAACGGATCGCTGACTAAAGCTTTTTTTGTCCTGTTGTTACAGTGATTTATGTAACAAATGGTATTTTACCAACAAGTCCTATATTTTGATTATTTCTATGCGGTAAAAAACATTACATTATGCATCTTTGCATCCAGTATAATTTTTTATACGCTATCAGTATCCTATAACTTGCTATTCGCTATCAGTATTCTATAACTTATTATACACTATCAGTATCCTATAACTTATTATACACTATCAGTATCATATAACTTATTATACACTATCAGTATCCTTTAACTTATTATACACTATCAGTATTTAATAACTTATATTACACTATCAGTATCTTATAACTTATTATACACTATCAGTATCCCATAACTTATTATACACTATCAGTATCCTATTACTTATTATACACTATCAGTATAATATAGCTTATCATACACTATCAGTATTACATAACTTATAATACACTATCAGTATCATATAACTTATTATACACTATCAGTATTACATTACTTATAATACACTATCAGTATTACATAACTTATAATACACTATCAGTATTATAAGTAATGTAATACTGATAGTGTATGATAAGTTATATGATACTGATAGTGTATTATAAGTATCATATAACTTATTATACACTATCAGTATTACATAACTTATAAACACTATCAGTATTACATTACTTATAATACACTATCAGTATTACATTACTTATAATACACTATCAGTATTATATAACACAGATGGTAGCTAACCACATTAAAACCTTAACTTAACAGAAAGTTACACATATCTTAGCATATTGTCTTACTTTTTCATGTCAATGTCTTCATCTACTTCTACCTTTCGTTCAATATTTTCCAACAGCTTGTCAACCGAACTATTTACCAGATGTGTCATCTGAAATAATAACAGACGATTAATTAATTAGAGGTAATCATATGACAATTTCCTTAACCTACTCCGTATCAGCCCGATACTCCTTTATCAGCCCGAAGGCTGATACAGGGTAGATTATGGAAATGGTCATTTGGTACTGTAACATTTTTCATCATATACTGCTTTATAAAATCAAAATTATTAGCAATTGCAGATAAAACACACAGAAGATTTATATTTCATATCATCTCATTCTACGTAAAATAAAACACAATGAACATTGTGTACACTACCGAGTTGAGGTGTAATTTGTCTAAACATTGTTGAAGCGGAGTTCAAATGGATATGATGCGTGTCAGGCAGGTATGGCGCGTGCCGGGCAGATATGGCGCGTTCTGAGCGGATATGGCGCGTGACAGGTGGATATGGGTAGGTCCATAAACACCCATATCATGACAAGTATATGCTAAATGTAATTATTAGGTCTTTCCCTGTGTGTTCAGGGCAAATTATTGGCTGCCGTATCCTATTAAGAGAGTAAACAGTACTGAACTTTCTAAATAAACAAGGTGGCATTACGTTAAAAATCAACCGTAGGAGTCAGGTCATAGCAATTGAGTTATTGCAATAACACGCACCAGGTTCTTAAAAATGCCAATTTGAGTAATGGAACAATAACGTATTTGAAGCAAAATAGTATAAAAGAAAATGTAACAATATTGTTTTAAAGATGAGTGGTACTTTAAAAGATAACTACATTTACCTGTCGCAACTTTTTGCCACTAAACGTCGGTGAGATGGCACCCCGGACAAATCGCCAGCGGTCATTTTTTAGAATTGACATCGATTCAGACATTGTTCGATCGGTAAAATCATCCAAAATATTCTAAAAGTACAGAAAAAACGGAATAGTTGCGGGCATGTTCAAATTATTCACACTTTTCACAAAGTCAACTACATTATGTATAATCAATATCCTCACATAAAGTACAAACTGTAAAAACAATATTAATGCATAAATTTGATAGTGTTTTTCATCAATAAAATATTGGTAAATATATGTAGGTATAATGTTTCCTATTGACCAAATATATACCTGCAAGTGCGTGAAAAACAATGATAATGAACTGTTTATTGAGGATAAAACCTTTTTCAGCCAAATGCCTATCTCCCTCAGGGTCCTCCAACATGTTCTATGATAGCCCAGTAGCCCACTGCATAGAAGGGAGACAAAACAGACAAGAAAAGAAATAAGATGTAAGATATACCAGTTAGAATTTCAATGTGGAGAGCTGATCATTTGTGATATGATCGGAAACCTTTACAGAAGATCTCACTCACCTTTGGTATACAGTGTCCAGATATATAGCCTCATTTGCTAATGTAGTTGGGTACAGCATGTCAGCACGTCTCCTCGAACATGAAGGGATCACTCGGATAAAAAGGAAAAACAATCAAAGTAAATGTACATACCTTCCTGTTGGGGAAACTTTTGAATTTCTTCACCAAGATTTCCTTTATCAGTTCTGGATCACCGATGAAAAGGGAAGGAACATACGTTTCATGTATGCTGTAATAATAAAAACATCAAAATACAACACAGATCTCATTTAGTCTTTATTCTACTGATACCACTAGGATAAGATATGTCAAAATATCATTTTGTGACATTATGAAACAAGAGGCCCAATGAACCTGCATCGCTCACCTGGTATAAATCTCACAACTGTAACCTTGAGAGTGGACTAAAAATAAAGCTGCAGGCAAAATTTCAGTGTCTTGACTCAAAGTTGACCAAAATAACCTGTTGAAATATTTGAACACATTTCACCCCTGTGACTTTGAAAGTTAAACAAGGACATACAGTTGAACAAGATTATAGCCCTTCTTCCCAGAATGCAGCTTGCCAAATAGCACCATCCTATACCGTTTGTTTATTGAGAAAATGACTTTTAAAGATTTATAAACCATTGACCAGATGTGGCCTTGAAAGTGTCAAGGTCATTCAGACGCACAAACTTGATGGTCATTCAATTGAACAAAATTGATAGTCCATCATCCCAGTATGCTTCTGGCAAAATATCATTACCCTGGACCTTTTGGTTATTTAGAAGAAGTCATTTAAACATTTCAACATATTTGATCCCTGTGACCTTTAATATGGACGAAGGTCATTCATTTGAACATACTTGGTAGCCCTTCATCCTAGTATGCTTCTGGCCAATAGAATGGCGCCGTTTTGAACGGGTTCATGAACACAATTCTAACTTTTGCTGCTAATATCTGTTATAATTTCCAAATCAAAATAATATAAATTGTATATAATGTACGTTACAAAGGTGCACCAAAACAAACAATTTTTTGCAGTCGCCTCATCTTAAATTTAAACTAAAAATCTACCCATTGAAAAGAATATACCGTGCTGATTGGACAACACTTAAAGTGATATCTTCACACGTGGTAATAAATCATAAGTTATTGCAGCGAAGATAAAAGTTTTAATCAAAATCAATCTTGCTATTTCACTGATGAATTGTCTTTCGTTTCCTAGCGCCTTGCTTGGAAATACCTTTATTTTGGCTTTTATGTTGAATGTTCACCCAGTTGAGGAAGGCAATGGGTTCTGCTCCCAGGCCGAGATATACCAAATTCTATCAAAATGGTAGTTCTTATTTCCTGCTTAACGTTCATCATAGGTTAATGGCCACAACTGGTACATCCGTTGTCAGTATAATGTGACTAGACGGATTGCTTTGCATGACGTCTTTGACATCGTATTTCAGTGAGGTAGCACTATAACGTATATTATACATTTTGTGCCTTTTGGTATCGACCAAAGTTAAAGGCAACAATTATTTATTGCCTTTTTCTAAGTGAGAAAAATATAATGAAATAAATAATTATTTATATAATGAAAATGTAGATCAAAATATAAATAAATCTCTAATAATAAATTTGATCCACATCATGGCATAATAACCTTTATTCTATAATATATATATATATATATATATATATATAAGCGTTGACTATTGAAAAGGATAAAATACTCTTGAAGCAAAATCCTGAATTCATTTTACATGAAAAGGGAAGAAAATGAGAAGTATATGACTCAAAAGGCAATAATTGAATCTAACAATTATTAGAAACGACAAGGCTGAAAATACGTTCTCCTTCATATCAATAAACCAGTAGAAGTCTTTCTACTCAGCTTTTGCCATGATGTGGATCAAATTTATTTATTTCATTATATTTTTCTCACTTAGATGCAAAACATATTTGTTCTTAAGAGCACATTATTTTGTCATTGTGTGATTTTTTCGGCCGTTGTGTAGGCTTTTTCGGAAGGTTAACGCTTTCCAATAGTCAACGCTTATATAGCTCCACGCTTTCACAAAAGAGGCAATACTAACCAGTATACCTTGCATCCAGTACACATACACACATGCAAGAATTCACAACACATATCGAGGTCCGTCTTTATATGGCGAACCTAGATTATGTTTTTCATAGCTCACCTAGCTGTATTTGTAGAACGGGGATTTTGTTATTCGACTAGCAGTATATACATAATGTATTTCACTCGAACATAGGGTACTTTACCTCAATAGCAATACCATGATTTCTTTTATCATAAAACATCTAAATTCCACGATCGCCAACATTGTTGATCAACTCAGTAGTGATGCATGTTTAATCTATCCCTTATGACTTGCATACTGTCCCTTGATAATGATTTGATAAGTTACAAATATATTCGTCTATTGTTTTTAAGTACAATATATATCAGCAGATCACTTACCCAAACACTTTGCCATATTTCTTGTACATGTTCTCATCCGTCTTGACCACTCCCTGGAATACACGCCACATATCTTCAAGAGTGACATATTGAAAGGGATTCAAACACATATATACTTCTCCTTTTCTTACTTTTTCATGTAAAATGAATTCAGGATTTTGCTTCGAGAATATTTTATCCTTTTCAATAGTCAAACCTTCTTACCCTGGATACTATACTGAAATAAATTCACCGTGATAAAAACTAAATCCACACATCAAGCAATAATTGAATACAAACATAGAACTTCCACCAAATAGTCATGATTATGAATAGCCCAATCTAACGACATCAAATGGATATTGTTCTTCATTAAATAAATGTATACGTACATGTTTAAGGAGCATCTTAAAATTTCCAAATATTAGATGAGGTTTAGGTCCGTCAACTCCCATCTTCTTAAATATTCCGTGGTTCCATGACATGGATCTGCAATGTAGGAAAATGTAGGGTCGGGCAGTTGATTACCCGATACATTTTCACGTAAGATCGGATGGCGAGTGCGCTCTGTAGCGTGCCAATATGTGAAAACTGGAAAAAATATACTAAATTCATTAATTACTGTGAGTAAATTATACTTATTCAAGCTAACTCTAACGTGGACCATCCACACACACACAGTAATTAATGAAATTAACGTACTTTTCCTGTTTTCACATATTGGTTGTTTTCACATATTGGGTTGTTTTCACATATTGGGTTGTTTTCACATATTGGCACGCTACAGATCTCTCCACTGTGCCACCCTACCAACTTATCACCATATATAGAAAATAATACTAATAACATGAACCTATGTAATATTGGATTCGTATCACCATCCGTTTAAACAACAGTTATGATAAGTATTCCATTCAAGCAAACAGTCATTATTTAAAAAAGATGTTTTACGGGAGACAAATGTAGTTGATGATGAAAATAAATTAGTGCAACTTTCTTACACATCATAAACACATACCTATATAATACGCATTATTATGGCGCACTGTTCAATTTTTATTGATATCACTACACAGAATAGGCGATATCACTATAACGAAGTTACATCATCAATTCATTTTAATGTTGTCACAGGATCATTACTATTTATCAGATTGTTTAGAATATAATAATAATACAATTGTTGCCTTTAACTTTGGTCGATACCAAAAAGCTATAATTGAAGCTAACAATTATTAGAAAAACGACAAGGCTGAAAATACGTTCTCCTTCATATCAATAAACCATTAGAAGTCTTTCAATTCAGCTTTTGCCATGATGTGGATCAAATTTATTTATTTCATTATATTTTTCTCACTTAGATGCAAAACGTATCTGTACTTTAGAGCACATTATTTTGTCATTGTGTGATTTTTTCGGCCGGTGTGTAGGTTTTTGCGGAAGATTAACGTTTAACTGCATCAAAGTAATTTTAAGTGATGTTTCCTTAAGTGACCACCAATATTAAGGCGCCCTACGTGCCGACATCTGCTTCTCCAACTTGTCACACAAGCGAAATCAGCCAGATAGGTGTCATCCAAAGAAAATGTATGTAGTCGATTATAAGATGACCAACGTCCAGTGTGGTCAGGGTTTTTCTTCTCAGAGGGAAGCTAATGATAAATATAACAAGACTATACTATCACAGTATGTAAAACCTTGTGAGGTATTTTTATTCACAAATGAAGTTTTAAAAATGGTTTAGTTAGCGTGTGTACACAAACGGCTACACTCACTGAGAAACACTTAAGAACGAAAAAATCAATTCTACGACTTAATCTACCTTATTATACCAGTAAACTGCAATTAGCATTGAATTTTACAAAACACAATCTAAATCATAAATTCATGACCCAACTTAATGACGTACCAGCTAAATAATCTAGGCATGGCTAACTTAATGATGTACAATCTAAATCATATTTGCATGGCCCAAATTACGGAAACACTCTCCAAATTAGCGGAGCACCATTTAAATTTAAAAACCATATCCAAGTTATCGGGACATGGACCAGTTTTCAGGAACAACAACCAATTTTCAGGGACAACAACCAATTTTCAGGAACATAACAATTCAATAAGATTGTGCCTTTGTTCCCGAAAACTGGTC